CTTAGAACGCTGGCTTTACAACAAAAATACCGACGCGGCTAGTCTTCCTTTGTCTTACATAGATAAATGCGGCAGCTCAAAGGATACCTAGAATGGCCCCAATGTCTATAAATGGTACCTACGTTGGGTTATTTGGGGCCCTAGAGTTTGGGGGAAACTAAAACGTAAGCCCGCCAGGGCCCTAGTGAGCGCTTTTGGGAAGGCTGCCTGAGATCCGTGGGCTTCCTAGAACGCCCATAAAAGCAGTAATACTAGTAATAGTGACAATAATAAATAGTAATAGCAATACAAACATTAGTAATAGTAATAGTATCAGTAATAACAGTCATAGTATTAACAAAGTCATAGTAATAATATCATGGTAATAGTTTTAAAAATAGTAATAACAATGATCTGCACACAATCGCACAACCTTGCAAAAAGCCTTCAAACATTTGCTGCTCAGGGATGAAGGATTTTAGGGTTGAGGGCATGCAGTTTGTTTTGGGCTTAAGCATTCCGGTTTACCTTACAATCTTTTGGATGTGTTTTTCTACTGAACCCTGTCCATCCCTATATAACTCTTGAATATCCCTCAAGTATCCCTCTACGAATATGCAGACATATGTATGTGCCCTGAATATCCCGACAGTATCCCTGTATAACCCCTAAAACTCCACCCACCAATCTCGCCTGGAATGGAGAGTGTGGCATCTATCCTGCGCTCTTCGCGCTGGGCCTCTGTGAGTCGAAGTGATTCATCCTGCCAAAGAACTTCACATCAGCTATAGGTATCCCCCTTAGTAGCCCCTGTAATACTCCCCTATACAATCCCCTGAATAACCCCTTTTTTTCGGGTTTAGGGCTTGAGGGGTTTGGTGCAAGGCGTCGCGGCGGATAATCTAGGCCTTGCTTGGGGGGGTTCAGGGTTTTGTGCTTCAGTTCTTGGGTTGCAATGTTGTAGGATTTAGGGTTCGAGGGTATAGGGTTGAAGGTATAGGCTAAGGTAGCGCCTGGGAAGATTGAATGAAGAGAGATGCAGTGTACGACTCCTGCAAGCCGCAAGTTTTCCCACAGGATCTAGCTAGGGCCCGCAAGGCGGTACTGGGCCCGGAGGTCAAAGTGTGGGGGGAGGAGACCTTTTGCAGGAAAGAATAATTGGATTCAAGGCAACAAGACATGTACGCTATGGGATTACAGAGAAGATTTTATGCAAAACAGGGGGCTCTCTAGTAGATGGGTCCACCTATTAATTGGTTGCTTGTAAGAATGAGCACCTAAATGCCGCAGTCATGTAACTGGTTCCTAGGCAGGAGCATCCAGTATTGGGGTCAGGTGGATGGATGCATGTGCAACACAAATAGATGGAGGCAGAAAGGCAATGATGATTGCCTTCACCAGCGGCAGCTTTCTGTTCTTGGCCGTCTTCTGACTTTGAGATTTTGTTTGCTGCAGTTCGCTCATGGGACCTATGCCTTAGCTTCAGTTCTCTTCGAAGTAAGTCAGGAATTCCAAGATTTGTCTGAAAGCTTTATCTCTAGTGACTTAGTGAGCTTGGTGTTCTAATTGTACCATGTCCCTGCCCTCAGCTGCGACATCGTCCTTCGCAACCTCGGACAGCAGCTTGGCACGCCCTTCTTCCTGGGGAGGAAGAATGTCTCAAAGCAGGTCACAGGAGTTGCTCACACATCCCCAACATTACTTGTAAGGGGGACCCCTGCACTTTCTTTATCATTCCACCATATACTGTAACTTTTCTAGGGAATCCCAACTTTGAGAAACCACCCGAACAGGGCTATTGCATCCTGAGGATGGTCCAGGGAGAAAAGGTTTCCTGCCTTTTGTGGCGATTATTTAGAGAGGGCGTTCTCAGAAACTGTACTTTGTGCATTTGTGATTTTCATGGAGCTGATGCAGTAGCAATAGCCTATGCCACTCTGTTACAATGCCAGCACAGCAGCAGAGAAGCAGGGCTCTAGTCTCTAGAAGCATCATCACTGGCCCTCAAAATCCAGGCCGGGAAGCTTACATCAACTGCTCACATGAACAGTTGGGCGTCTACTCCGGGGTTTAAATGAGACGCCATAAAGGCCACCTCACGATACCTGGATACCTTAAGCCCTCAGCCTTGTCAGGGTCGTTGTCGAAGTAAAAGATTTTCGCATCACTCCGCCGTGCGCGGCCAGCTCCCTGTATGTGGCTCTTCCTTGGTGCCAGGTTGTGGAGCTTGCTGGCTAATACAGGAAAGAACTTGCGCTTGTAATTGCTTCAAGACTTAGTCACCGCTGATCTCTATCAAGTCAAAACATCAATCAAAGCTTGAGTGGGACATTGGATCTCGTTGAAACCGCCGACCCTGCAGACTTCACAACATGAAACAACTTACCAGATTCCAGAGAAGCTTGCCGTGCCATGTGGGATATTGCAAGCCTGAAGCTGATAAACTCTAAAGCTTAAGCCTCTGAATCAGCGGCCCTTGAAACCCTGGCGACTATACCATTGACCCGAATCCAGAAACCCTCAACTCTAAATCCCAAAACCATCACCCCAACAGCCTAAGCCCTACTCTGCTCGGCTAAGATGATTGGAACCTCCGAGTTTTGGGCACATATCGTCAGCGCTACCCGATTGCTGTTTTGTGGGGGGGCTCTATTGGAGAGGCTGTGTTTTGAGACATACCCTGGAGCAATCCGCTAACCACCCCCCGACCCTTGAGGCATGGCTAAGCAAGACAAGGTGCGTTGTGTCGAAACCTTTGCAGAGATATCTGGGGTAACAACTCATAAGTATTGCATGGGAGAGGGGGGTGGGCGCTCGACAGAAATGCCAAAATTGAGGAATGGCATGACGAAGAGAGCTCATGCTTTGGGAAGCTCCTTCAGTTATCAAGATTGGTTCCAATCTGCCATCTGGGAAGTCCAGTCAATCAAGTCTAGTCGTCTTTGGCAGGTTGCGACCCTGCAGGCCCGTGGCCCCAATGGACCGGAAAATGCACCAAAAACACATGTTTTTCACTAAGTCTTCTGGAAAACCAGCGCTTGTAAAGTTGCTGCTATCTCTCAAAACAACAGTTCACGTCAGTCATTTACCATTGAAACACCCGGATCCTTCGTGTTGGGCATCTCAGAAAGGGGCCCAAAACTGTGAAGCTTTCGCTGTCACTCATCTGGGTTGCTGTTAAGGAACTTGAATTAAGTTACTCTATTGGGGAAACCCTATTATTTACTATATATACCCATTCTGGTAACATAATTTAAGTTCCTTAACAGCAACCCAGTCATGTGGGGGCCCCTAAGCTTAGCTTCTTGCAAGCTCGCTTTCCCTATCACTCTGAAGTCCTTAGCCCACAACCCCAAGACAACAAAGACGACAACATGAAGCTGGCCGAGCAAGGGACGGTTGAAGCGGATGACAAAGGCGCAGTCTGAGACATCCACTCCCTCCTCATAGATGCTATAACGAATCTTAATTGCCAGCTACCAATCCCAATCATGCCTTTTGATTGTTCCACATGGCGCAGCTTCATGATTCACTGATGTTACTGCTATGGCTACGACTCTTCTGGTTCAGTACTGGGGGCCAGAACAACGGTTTAACAAGGACACAAGCAGCATGTCAATTCCATCGGACCTCAATCCCTGCAAGCCCAACCCTCAACGCAATTCGTGTGATTTTATGATGCCTACGGGTCAGGCAGCTCCACCGGGAAAAACTTGAGGCTTCAGGAAGATTCTTGGGATCAATGTTATCTCTGTTCAACGTAGTGGTCCTATACTGCCAAGATTAGTTGTTTGCGCTATAATATACCCTCACTACATACAAATGAAACCTAACACTATGAACTTCCTAGCATACCGCCTCTAAAGAAGCCACATGAAGCCATGGAGTCGCATCCCTGTTTTGAAAAACTTGTCCTCCAGGGCATTGGTGCAAATCAGCACGTTGAGTTCCCCCTTGCGGAACCTTCGCAGGTCTGCAGCAGTGGGGCTGGTTACTGCCACCTTTGCTTGCTATTCCCACTCTCTTCCTACGACTCCCTCCCCTTGCTCCTGATACTCAGCCCCGTACCCAACGTCCCAAATGCCCGATGCCTCTCCATCTCCAAGTCTCGCTTGCTGTCTGCCATCGACCCAGTACCGGTAACTGCCCCAGCGCGAACAACCTGCCAGGCTGCCAAGCTCCACTGGGGTTACTGAGTGACCTGGAGGCGGAATTCTAATGCCATGTGAATATGACTACAGTAACGCTATCTTGCAGCATTTTAAGGGCGTGAACGCAGAAGGAGGCTGAATAGGGCTCAAAGAGTATCTAAAGAACAGGCAATGATGGCATGAGGTCATCAGCGCGGTCAGTCTTCAAGCCCTTTGTTGTCCCATGCAGGACTCCTGGTTAGCACTCTGTGGTTTAAAAGTTTGGGCCTTGCAAGCTAAACTGGATTAGCCTAGATTGTCATTGAGGCTTTCTGGTTGAAGTGTGCTTTGACAAAATTCTGGGGTTCGTGCTTAAGCAAGTATTGCGGACCCTGTCACAAGCAGCCCAGAGTTCTGATGAGTGTGTATCTGCACTGCGCATTGCACCTAGAGACTAGGGATACGAGTCTGGGACTTTTTTGCAGAGAGCCTTACTCGGGATATGGGCATTGACAACTGCATGTATTTTTATATGTGCAAGCTTTAGAAGATATATAACCTCTACAGGTAAATTACCAAAACGGTCTATAAGTTCAATTTTCCGTCCAAACCAGAAACACCTCACCGCATGCAGAAACCACAAACTTCCAAAAGATTCCAAAAGCCTGGCAGCCTACCCCGAATGTCCCTGTAGATGGCAAGTAAAAGCAAAGTCGGGGGGCCGCGTTGTTCTTCCCGAAATGCTCCGTAAGCCTGAAAGCATCACAGCATGGAGGCTGTCATATGCTAGAGGCATGGGATTCATGATGGCCAATACCACCCTAAGCCTGAAGCCCCAGACCCAAAGCCCTACTTCCAAATCCTTACAGAAGGGTTTGTCATGGAGCCTGCGTCCTCAAGCGTCAACCCTCAAGCCAACCCGAAATCCCTCAATCCTACTCTGCTCTGGAAGACATTGGGCAACGCACCTTGCTAGCAAGTGGATGCCGCCTTAATCTAATCATATCTGGAATCATCTGGTGGCCTGAAGACCATGGTCCTTCAACATGTAGCACCACCCCTCCCTCCAGGGAGGCCTCCAAGAGGGTCTTTACTCACTGTTTCTGAATAGGAAATGAGTCCCTACATAAACCCCATATGATATATTCCTTTATTCCCTACTAAGAACCAGTAAGTTTATACATGAGGTCAGGACCCCTACAGTACTGCATCGTGGGTCTGACCTATAGTCCCCCTTCAGGAGGTACATGGTTCCCGCCCGAAGGCACATCACGCGGCCAAAAGGCCCATCGTCCCCATGTAGACGCCCCGATCAGC